AACCGTGTTGATAACAAATGTCAGAACACTACTTTGTTTTTATCTTGTTCACTTATATTCTTTAAAATAATACGGCAATAGCAAAATCTGTAAATACCACTTCTTACAACTCTCCTGTGTAGAAAACTGTGTTTAGAATGTCAACTCATACAAGACATGTCAAAATCTAAACATGTTTAGGAATGTGTTTAAATCCTAAACAGAATACATATTAGGTGTTTTCTATCTAAACACGTTTAGGAATGTGTTTAAATCCTAAACAGAATACACATAAGGTGTTTTCTATCTAAACACGTTTAGGGTCTAAACACATGAAATTTGCTGTCCTCTCACAGCCTAAACACTAACTAAACACAACATCACCATTATTAAACCTGTTCAGAATGTACACATTTTTCGTGTTTAAACATGTTTAAATAAAGTGCATACCATTGGACATTAAGTCCAAAATGGATAAGATGTGTAATATATCTTGAAATTAGATGTGCAGTCAGATTCACGGGCACTTGCATAACGCATATACCACCAGGACTTGGTACAATATTGACATATATACGTAGAAATGAACCAAGCTTAATCGATGGTGAGTAGGGAATTGACATTTGTGACGACAACAGTCTCCGTAGCAAAGATGGTAACATGCAGGACTCCAAATCAAGATGTTGCAGGTTCATATCCCGCCGAAATTTTACAAGTGTTTTGTTCATTAATTTTTTGTGTCAATATGAGTAATAGTATTTCTCTCATACAGGAAACGAAAGCTGACAATGAAAGTACAACTGATCACTACGACCGAACCTGAACTGTTTTAGGACGGTTTTAAACGGTTAATTGAATTAATATTATTTTTTTAGATTGACCTGTCTGGATTAAAGAGGGTCCGTTATATGCAGTAATAGATCAGTAAAACGCTACCTGAGAGAACATAAATGTAGCGTGTAAGCTACACGTCGCCCTGGGGGTAATGGGTACGGTTGTATTTATCTTCCTAAAATAGAATAGGTTTTCGACAATTATCGGGAATAATTTTCAGGTGGTGTAGGTAATGAAATTAATTATACCAAGGACGTAAATTACGTTACGGAAAAATGTCGCAATGCATCATGTTTAATCCCGAATTTTCTCAAAACGTTTTATCGTGATTTTATCATCTTGTGTTTGAATCTAGCACAACACTGTAAAAATGTGTTCAGATACTAAACCAAAACCTATAGAATTCAACCACGTTTCTAGTCCAAATTTTGAAATTTTTACCCCTAAACTTGTTTTGAATTGTGTTTAACAGCTAATCGTGTTTAGGATCTAAATGTGGGAAAGACCAGAAAACACCCATTGATATCTCAACAACATGTATGAACACGACGCGTTTAAAACCTCGGCGGGATACAAACCTGCAACCTCTACCCCCTTCGCTCTACTACCTGTGCTGCTGAGACTGCTGTCCTCACAGATGTCTGTTGTCCTAGTCACCATCAACCTCTCTTGGTATATTTGTACATTCGTAAGTTAATAGTATACCAAATTCGTTGTGAATCCTGGTGGTTTATGTGTTAAGCTAGTGCCTGTGGAAAGGATCTACACATCTAATTTCAATACATAATAAACATCTTATCCTTATTTGACTTATTGCAAAATGATATGCACTTTATTTAAATGTGTTTAAACTCAGAACGTTTTTAAACGTGTTTAAATTCTAAACATGTTTAACCATTAAATTCTGAACGTGTTTAAATTCCGGACGTGTTTAAATTCTAAACATGTTTAAATTCTGAACATGTTTAACCATTAAACATGTTTAAACGTGTTTAAATACTAAGCATGTTTAGATTATGATGATGTTTAGTTTAGGTGGTGTTTATGCTGTGAGACAAAAATTCGTTTCAAGGGTTTAGATCCTAAGCGTGTTTAGAAAAACACACCAAATGTGTACTCCGTTTTGGATTTAAACACATTCCTAAACATCTTTTCATTGAAACATGTATTGTATGTGTTTACATTCTAAACTCTTTTTAACTGTACAGTAACACTGAAAATATAGTTGTGCAGTAACACTGAAAATGCAGTTATGAACTTTTAGAACTTATTCAACATCTATGATGAAGGTTGGGCTGTTGCGTCCTTAAGCCGTGTCTGGATCCAGAACCTAGGCTCACTCCAATTAGCATCCTTGGCTTGTTAGCACCATGTCCCTAGTCGTGGGTCTCGTCACCGAGGTAACAACCCTACATGATCTGCTTCAACATGGGCCTTACAACCACATTTAGCTGCCAAAAACCAATTCGAACTGAAACCCTGTTTAAGCGGTATTAGCCCGAACTCTCTCTCATTCTTACATGCTCAGAGTGAGAGGAGAACGACATTTTCACATATTTTGATCATTAATGATGACGGGAGTTGGAGGGATAAAAAAATGGGGTTTTATTTGGAATGATGTATTTAAGAAAACCAAACCAGGGGAAAATAAAATAAGATATAGCAAATATAGACTCAGTGACATGACGTGCCTGTTGACAACTAGTATTTAAGACAATCGCAGTGTTTTTTCTTCATTATCTTCTACTTTAACAAATGCCTATGACATCTTTCATTTGCTCTGAAATTTCATAATTATCATACCATATCATTTCTATTAAAAGGAATTTCACAGAGAAAACAGACCCGTCTGACTTATTTTCAATTCCTCTTCCACTTCTATCATCGTAACCCCAGAAAGAGTTCCAGTTGAAACACCCCTTTATTTAAACCTTCTCGTCCCACTTGATATGTGATTTTGTGTCTTCGCCTCTCTTCATTTCAGACGTCATTGAGATATATTTGCCACATCATGCGTAGGCGATCACGTTGCAGCCCTACGACGCTAAAACGAAGATGAAATAACTGAATCGTATTACATCGGTCACACAGAAGTATCCATGGTGTGGGTGGTGATAGCATAATGATAAAACAGAGGGACAGATGAAATAGCCCCTATTACCATACATCGATAACTCCAGTAAATGTAGCAACCCGTCCCGTACGCTTCTGGTAGGGCGGGATCATGCAATATGAAGACGCCAAATCTCATTGGACAAATATTGTGTCACGTGGCCCAACCATGTGATCAGTGGAGCGTGAGAAATCGCGGCGCGTCATTGAGATAGTGTGTTCTGTTTAACGGTGATTTGTATTCAAAGCAAACTGATGAAATTCTATTGAATGGCAATCTGAGGGAGCAGCCCCTTGTTGTAACGTTGGGAACAAAACGCTGACGAGCAGCTCATAGCATTGACGTCACACGCCACCCCCTGGCGTGTTCACAGTCTTGCAGAAATTATAATTTCATGAAAGGTGTATAAATACATAGCACAGCGTCGCTAATTATATTAGCACTCTCGCGGTAGTTTGGTGGTGTTTATAAGCTACAGGTAGCCAACAAAGGTTACCTGCTTCTTTTTACCTGTGAGCTCTCAGTCCAACCGCAACCACGGGGAATTGTGTGGAAATCTGCAAAGTGGCTCTGAAGAGGACCCCTATGTTAGGGCCGCGCCCAATGGACATACGAAAACCGCCGCCCCTCACCCACTACCACGAGGAGAGGGACTTTCCGCCTGAGAAAAGGGATTTATGCAAAAGTGAACTGTATAGAAAAAGACGATGTCAAAATATAATCCCTCCCTCCGACAGCCAGATACGAGCTCTCGAGGTAAGTTAAAGTTTGCACTTATTGGTTTGTGATACGTGTTGTAAGTACTGTTTCTAGAAAATATCAAAACTGCACAATTATTGCGTCTGTTTGCTTCTTGAAACAGACACAATAAATGACGGATCCTCAGTTCTAAAGAAAGTATACAGCCATGTTTGATGGTGGCTAAAAATGACACAAAAAGGAAATAGTTATTTGATGGTGATGTAATTGATACAGGTGTCATAGTTGTGTTTTGGACCTTAGCATTGCAGTGTTTCGGCGACTGTTTTCGGCCTAGTAACGTTTTGATAACGTTTGCAATTATTTGATTTTTAATTGAATGCTTTCGTTTGCCCTGCAGTTTAGCAGAGCAGCTATGCTTCGCCGATCATTTGATATCCTGAGGATTTGGTTTTGCAGTTGTAGCTGAGAAAATATCTAATTTCCACGCCAAAGTCACTTTATATATAACTATATATAAATAATTATTCAAATCGCCTACCCAATTAACAAACTTGTGTGATTTAAAAGTGCCCAATCACTATCTGCCTCCTTGAATTTTTATTAAGAAGTAAATGTGAAAGTATTATCCTGACAGCTATGAACGGTAATGAGTGGTTGTGGTGAAGTGTTTGACATTTAGTTAATGGATACTATGTTGGTCCAATATTACAACTATAAGCGACAAGAACCATGTCCTTAATCATAAGAAATCCCTGCTAAAATCAGAGTCAATTGTACGATGCCGGCTATATAATGAACAAGTGTGTGTGAATTACTTTCAAATAGTGATGATATGTTCGAAAAGGTGAGCGTAGTCTGACCCACCAGTGGCATCCGTCACAAACACATGCAAAGGCAAATCAATTGATCACCTGAAAAAACAACACTGGAAGAAGTCGAAATAGGGAATTGCACTGGACATAATACGTCACTGATGCGACAAATTTGCAAATATCCTATATATATGTCTACCATAGCACGTTCTGAAACCTTTGCTGAGATCTTGGCTGTTTAGTAACCCTTCATAAAAAAAACAACGCTCTTCGAAATCTTCGTCGTTAGGGCATGCTCGATTGTTGCTCAAACGGCTTTTTTTTAAATATAGACACCAAAGTTGGAGCTGCTGGAATATAGCTGGACTTGAAGGGAAAGTTGATTATTGATAAGTTGAAGTCATCCCTCTTGTCATACAGTCCTCGGCATATTTTTGTCACTCTCAATCTTATTGCATAAATCGACATATGAAACTGATGAGGCGGCTTTAATGGTCTCTCTTACGTCTAGCTCTGGTGGGTGAATCAGTGGGAGGGACTTGGCTAGTTGACCGTTATTGAACGAAATCAGATCACCGATATGCCTGAAACTTAAGTTAATCTTCTCGGCCACATTGCCTTGTTTTCATTTTGCCAAACCGAGCAGAAATTCCTATTTATATGCATAAAGAAACAGATCAGCTATAAGAGAAGCACAATTGGTGCCCATGGGGATGCCTGCTTCTTGCCTAATTGCCTTATTCCTAGATTTCGCATAGATGTTATCAAAGAGGAAACCCAGCATTTCACATATTTAATTTTTGACAAATTGTTCTGAACCTGAATATAGAGATGCAACTATATCTGTGGTCACCACGTTTAGTAACAAAAGCCCAATCGAAAGAAAGTGTTTCCTTAACTTTGTCGGGACAGTGCTGTACAAAGTTAAAAATCAATGTTTTGCCAGAATTGAACTTGGTTCTTTGTTAAGTATATTGCAAAGAGAACCCCTTGGGTGATAGCGAACATCAGGAAATAGTGAGTTATGCGTTGTTCGAGGGGAACGCAGGAATGTGTCGATATATACAAGTGTTGGAGCCCTACAGTTTCTTCGTCTTAAACGATAGATCGGGTTAATGGGGTTCGAGTTAACAGGTGTTGCTGAACCATGCTTCAATGTAATAACGTTCAACTAGAATGATGCACAGACAAAATTGAATTTTGTTTCATTGGGGATAATGAAGCCGTTTGATAAATATTTTATCCTACAGGGTTATGCGGGGCTTCGATATGCCCCCGTGTGATATGTCCGTAGTCAGTACATGTGACAGCGACAGTATATGTAGCGACCACATTACAAACTACTTATGATACACATTTTTTAAAAGGGGAATAAGACATCGAAACCAAACTGTTAATGGGTTATTTTGTCTTTTATAATAATGTATTGTTTTAATAAATTCCCTAATTTAAAGTTTAAACGTTTTCGGAACTTCATACGATCTACGACACCGTCTTATGAAAGATAATTCAGATATGCTTAAGTAATATTTTCGTATTCTATATTTATTAATTTATTCATTTTAAATGTGTTTTTTCTTTTTTTCTTTCTACCCACAGGACAGTCTCCGCAATCTTGATGGCATCAGTAGCCCTTCAGGTATCGGCACGACCACTTCCGTTGTATTTTCTCTGCGCAACCAAATCGGACATCTAGCAAGCGCCCTCCGAATATTCCAGGTATACTTTCAATGAATGCTATTTTAGTGTTTAAATCAATTTTCTTTCAATACTTCCTTTGTTTTGTTCTATCTCTAATGTATTCAAATACAATACAATACTTGCATCATCTTTGTCTACATACTAGTATTATATTCGCGTTAAATATGCTTCACTATCAAAACTGATTTATCTTAATTTCTTGTATCTTTTAGCATTTTGGGTGATACAGTTCTACAAAGTTTAAAAATATTTGGCCACAAGTAGGATTTTGTTGGAATATACAGAATTCTTTGTTGGAGAAGAGCTTCGCATCTGAAAAGATAGTGTAACTCATCTCCTACTGAAAGTGATTCACAAAGTTGACAAAGTCTATCTTATCCTGGTATATTCTGTCATCGGCCAGTCTCAACGGGCAAGTCGTGATTTGAATTACGAAATTTTGATATCGGCATGTACTTGCCGTTACTGAGTAACAAATATATATATATATACTTTCCCTCCACTTTTGTATAAACTGATCCTTAAGTGCCTGTTCGACCGTTGAGACTAGCCAATTTGTAGAGCATATGGACATTTTATGAAATATTTCACTTCGTCCAACATCATTTGGTATAATTTTAACACACACGCATGTGACGCAGGTGCTCAACGGGTTGCACATGGGTTGAGCACACGTTGTCAACGCGTGTGCAACGGATGTGCAGCGCGTTGAAAACCGGTGTGCAACGAGTGACCCACGCGTGCGTCATGCGTGTAACACGGGACCGGGTTTCAGTTGAACATGGCAAATCAATCAAATGAATAGTCAAATAAAACAAAACAATGAGATGTGAATCTTGAGTTAATGAGTGGCCATTGACCTGTGTTCACCAGACCATAAATACATGGCCGGCCGTCTTAATTAGTGTTCGGCTGCTCGACTTGACTGCGGGAACCCATTCCAATAGGGTTCAGTCCAGCCATTGTGACTTGCCGACAGTAGTGAATTTAGAACACGTGTTCATTTCTACGGGAACCCCCGCATTGTAACAATTGTCGCGGGTTGGTAAATATTCGCAAATAATCAAGTGATTGTGTTTGTGGATTGTGGATATTTTCGTTTTAATTTTTTGTCAACATGAGTCATTCCAAGTGATCGCAAATATAACGATGTTCGTTCGCCAAATGTATGCTTTAGATGTCATAATTATGATAGAGCAGGGGTGGTTGGGTAGCCTAGTGATTAAAGCGTTCGCTCGTCACGCCGAAGACCCGGGCTCATTTCTCCACGTGGGTACAACGTGTGAAGAAAATTTCTGGTGTACCCCGCCGTGATATTGCTGGAATATTGCTAAAAGCGGCGTAAAACCATACTCACTATGATAGAGCACTCACCAGTACTGATGCCCTATTGGTACATGCGATTATATGCCCCATTTCCCCCCACCCAACTTTTTGTTTTGTTTCTATAAGAATTAATAAGAGGACGTTTTGTAGGGGGATCTAACATTTACCATTAATTTAAAAGGATATTGGAACTGAATACAAACTGCTAAGTTGTCTGACTGTAATTTGTGATTTTAACAATCACAGGGTGTGACCATGTAGACAGATTGAGGATTGTGTTTTTTGCAATTGCCCAATGCGCATACTGAGTATGGCTACTTTGGGAATACCAACGGTAACAGTGTCTTATTAGAGGAAATTGGGATTCTTTGTCCTTTCGTGTTCTGTTGGTAAATCCGTTCACACTGTTGGAAGGAAGTCACTCAACCAGGTCATAGTTCTATATCGGGGTCTTCTCTCCTGCTGATTGGGAGACAGAAAGCGTTAGCTCGTCACGCCGAAGACCCGGGTTCGATTCCCGACATGGGTACAATGTGTGAAGCCCATTTCTGGTGTCCCCCGCCATGATATTGCTGGAATATTGCTAAAAGCGGCGTAAAACCTCACTCACTCACTCTATGTTTTATTACTTTACATTTCCACAGAACCATCATGTCATATATACTGGACGATGTCATGACAATGGTCATGCGCAAGGTTCTAGGTTCAAGGTTCTGCGCGTGATAGTCATACGACCCATGACATTTCCACTGTATACAGGCACCTTGTGTTCGTTTGACTCGGTCGACTGGCCGCAGTAATAATGTTTTTAGTTTTGACAGCATCATGCTCGTGGAGGCATTGAATTAAAAAAGATTCGCTTGTTCATTTCATGGAGTAACAAATAGGGAGCAACATAATGAAATAATAAAGTCTTTGCATGGGATCGTACCGGAGTTTACGTCATGTTGGTATGGGGTTTCAGCCACGAGTGTTTGGCTACAATTGTTCGTCGGAAATATTAAACGGTTGGAACAATAGAGTGACGTCATAAGAATTATTTATGGCGATATATAAAGACTAAGAGGTGAAACGAAACTGAAATTGAGGTCTTGAATATTAACAACAAAAGAGGACAAATATTTTTTTTAATGCCATTTTGTACCATCGATTATACGAAACATACTCTTTTTGCATCGCTTTCAATTCCAGGTGTGATATGCTACAATCGTTTGAATTAATCTAAATGTTACCGTGTAAAAACGTGTTGATTTTTTTTACCTTGTCAAACGTATAGAGATTTATCTTTACACTCAGCGCCTTATGTGTTAATATTGATATATGTTGATATTGATATGTTGCCTAGCGCTTGTAGAAGAAACAAATTATCCAGAAAAAATAATTAAGCATTAAGAAACCTGACACAGACTTATGATGTTCAACCCGTAATCTGTAGGTCTGTTGACTTAACACCCTAATGCACAGGTTCTGGGGTCGAATAGGTCTTCAGCAACCCATGCTTGCCGTAAAAGGCGACTTTGCTTATCATAGGAGGCGACTAAATGGATCGAGTGGTCAGACTCGCTCAGACTGACCTGGTTGATGCATGTCATCGTATCCCAGTTGCGTGGATCGATGCTCATGATGTCAATCACATGAGTGTCTGGTCCAGACTAGATTATTTACAGACCGCCGTCATATAGCTGGAATATTACTGAGCACAGCGTTAAACAACAAACAAACTAAACTAACTATTCTAATCTGTTTAATCTTACCACACTGCAGTAAGCTATTCAGGAGATCAATGATCACATCTAACTTAATAACCCAATCGTTGATTTGATAATTATCCCCCAAAAAGAGAAAACGCCAAATGAGAACCACGGAAACCTATATATAGCAGAATCTATCGTCCGGAAACATGCATTTTAGGCAAGGATTGAGGGCTGATACCACGAGTTACCTACACCTAGCAATAGCAATACACCGATGGCCAGGGCCTACTTGCACCAAGCGATCTTAGCGCTAAGATGATCGTAACTCCCATACTTTAACATAGGCTTACAATATTTGTAGCGCTAAGATCGCTATGTGCAAGTAGGCCCAGGAGTATGACGACACCCACAGGTGAAAGGGTTACACAGGTGAAAGGGTTACACAGGTGAATGGGTTACACAGGTGAAAGGGTGACACAGGTGAATGGGATAATGACGACATCAACCTGTTACATAAGTGCTTGGTGCATAATGTGTAATTAGGATCCCTGAAAAAAAGAATGGTAATTTATGTTTTGAGCACATGCAGACTATTTGCTTTTTACTTAAGGACGGGCACTGTACATTAACATTTTCTTTGACCATTGTGTTTTAGCTTTTGTGTCAACAGTATTTTACACGAAGCCCTACTATAGGATGTCATTGTTACGGCCTCGTTGGAGTAAAACATCATGAATTTGAACAACTGTATCACCACCGAAGACAGAAAACTTGATTTTAAAGTTTCAGTGGATCAATTTGAAAAACTGTATGATAATAAACCCTGAACGAGATTGTTTGTCTGGAAGATTGTCTGATTGTGATAACATGCCGTGGCTTAAATCAAATATAAAACGTCAACGTCAGAGAATACTCAATCACTATACTATACTATACTGTACTGTACTGCACTGTACTGTACTGTACTGTACTATACCGCACCGCACCGCACCGCACCGCACCGCACCGCACCGCATCGCATCGCATCGCATCGCATTTACATCACATTAACATCACATTTCATTTGTTGCATGTTATGTGTGTTATGTGTCACACGCGTGGCGGACGGGTTCCACGCGATTGACCAACGAGGTGCACACGGGTTGAGTCACGCGTGTCCATGCATGTAACAGTAGTGAACGTGATTTTCTAAGTTTAAGAAATGAATAAGCCTTGAGAAAATCGTTATGAAAATTATCAGATGTGTTCATACAAACGAGACTTTGCTCATGCTAAGGCGTGCATGTTTCGAACGTATGCCAACACTGAATGTAAAGGCAAGCTGGGATGTATCAAGACTAAGTTTGGAGGTTTTCAAGAAGCGGTTTTCTACTGACTGAACATGTGCACGCCTTCCATCAAAACTGATTCTTTTAGGAGAGACAATAGAGACATATGGTAAAAAGTAAACCCTGGTCACGGATTTGCTGATTATTAGATTTTCATTTATGTGAGCAATACCTATGTACTTGAACATGTCAGGCGCCCATATCTTGTAAGTGCAAAGGAAACAACGGTAGTTATCAACCATTTGAACATATCCGATTATTGTCATACCAATACTTGAAAGTCATTTTGGGTCCCAACTACCTCCTCGTGCACCACTGCCTGTTTACCTCACCATTAATAGTATAAACAAAGATGACCGTCATCTACATCATCTTCACTGTCGTCTTCACTGTCGTCAGGAGAACAATATCAACGTGGTGCACATCGAGTCCCGGAAGTCGCGGCGCGCAGACGCAGAGTACGACATCTACGTGGACCTGGAGACGGACACGATCCGACTGGAGGAACTGGTAAACCGTCTCAAGAGGGAGGTGGCCAACATCACCTTCAACGAGCTCAACATCCCCATGTCGCCCCCACCCAACGCCACGGCACCGTGTAAGTCGGAGTTTGTTGTTTCTAAGTCGTTATTTACCATCTATCCTTTATCAACATTTCAATTTGTGTTTATTTTTTTTATCTTATTTCATTTATATTTCTATATTTCTTTACACACAATTAAAAAAACAACCTTGGATTGTTTTCATGTTTGAATGACTTTCAAGACTTTCAATGAACAAAACAAAACTGGGATCTGTATTTGAATGATATTTATGTAGTATATTATTTTTTAATTATTTGATTTTTTTATCAAATAGTTTCTGGGTTATTTTAATTTGATATAACAAACGTAACTATAATACAACATTAACGTAACCAGCTGGAAAATTGCATAGGAATGTACTTAAACACGTAAAAAGAATAATTGTAGTCTAATTGTTTTGAAAAAATATATGTACATATTTTCAAAACAGCAAAGTGCTATTTTACCAAACATTTATACAAAACGACCAATCAAGATTGGAATCTTTGTCTGGAATGTTCCTGGAGCAGCTATATTTGTACGTGTAGCTCCTTCCTTTCATGGTGCTCTCGAAGATCTTGACAAACGCTCTTGAATATGCGCAAACAGTTAGATTTACTTGAATCACCCAGTCTCCCGTATCTCAACACAGTCAGATCGATCGGCAAACACAGCATGGGACATTAGTCGTCTTCTTAACTTGATATTATTCTGGAGGATTGTTGTGAGATTTTCATCAGACCATACTATCAGTAGCTGGGTAATTAAGTCTTTGTCTCTGGCTGACCGCTGCTTGGTTTCACGTAGTGCCTTTATGACAACCATCTGGTAGGGTCAACGACTGGAAGTATGATATAGTGACGTGACATTTCAGGCTGTAATTATAAAGAGGGTGTTTGTCCTTAGCTGAGTCTTTATGGTGACATTTGTTGCTTGAATACAGGACCTGTCACCAGAACACCATACAGACACTAAAGATTTGTAGGGGGCACGGGTGGCCCAGTCGTCTCAGGCGCCGCGATTCGCTGTGCAGAGTTGCGTCACTTGGGCACGCCAGAAACCTATGATTGTGGGTTCGAATCCCGGTTCGCCTCAATTATGTTTCTAGGTTTGTCAGCACCATACCCGTGCTCGTGGGTTTCACCGAAGTGGCAAACGTCTGAGACCTGCATCACTCCGGGCTTTCCTCCCACATTAAGCTGACACGCCGCGATATAACTAGAATACTGTTCCCGAAATATGAAATGGACAAAATACTTCACTAGATGGAACCATATAGGACAACTGTTCCTTAACATCATCAGCATCTTCCTCCCCGCAACCAAGACGAAATTGTTCCTGTACACGGTACATTTGCGCTGTTCGTATTTCTTCGCCCGACTCCGTGGTGAAATGGACACAGCGTCTGCCAGAAGAGCGGAAATTCGGTGATTCGATCTCTGGCCGCGTCATTCCAAAACAAGTTAAAAGATGGTAGTTGTTGTTACCCTGGCGCTCGGCGGCCACACACGCACGCACGCACACACACACCTGTTTTGAATTTAAAATGTAAGTCAATCGACAGTATTTCAATCATATCGTGCAACACAAATAGAAGTGAGCTGCGAAACGTGACCCCCATATACATGAATATACATGTTCAGGTGCCATGGTACAATAGGATGGAACACGTACAATACATGTAGATGACGATGGATCATCAACGGTGAAGTGTAGGTATCCCACGTTGTGACGTCACAGCGTGAAGTATTGAATATATATGTTCTGGTCTGACTGTTCCAGGTGATATGGATCAGGTGCCATGGTTTCCCCGGGCAATCGGCGACCTGGACATGTGCGCTCACCGGGTGCTGATGTACGGGCTGGAGCTTGATGCCGACCATCCGGTAAGTGAGTGAGTGAGTGAGTGAGTATGGTTTTACGCCGCTTTTAGCAATATTCCAGCAATATCACGGCGGGGGACACCAGAAATGGACTTCACACACTGTACCCATGTCGGACTATCGAGATCCCACGATATCTGATCTCACTTCAGGGGGCACAAGTGGCCCAGTCGTCTTAGGCGCCGCGATTCGCTGTGCAGAGTTGCGTCCCTCGGATAGCCAGAAACCTATGATTGTGGGTTCGAATCCCGTTTCGCCCCGATTATGTTTCTAGGTTTGTCAGCATCATACCTGTGCTCGTGGGTTTCACTTAAGTGGTAAACTTGCATCACTTCGGGCTTTCCTCCCACATTGAGCTGACGCGCGCGATATAACTGGAATACAGTTAAAAGCCGCGTTAAACCCAACTCACTCACTCTATCACTTCAGCTAGGAATCTGAATTTCGTTTCAATGAATATTTACTGAGATAAGACGTCCGACACTGCGTACGTTATCTGAAATTGAAGTTATCCTGACGTCATACATCATACTCTCATTTCGCAGGGATTCAAAGATGAAGTGTATCGGAAGAGAAGAATCCTTTTCGCCGAACTCGCGATGCAATACAGCCAGTAAGTTGAAATCAATACTTTGTCTCAAATCTCCACATTACTTTCAGCAAGATAAAACAATGCAAAGAAACTTTTTGTCACAAAGGAGTTTCATCTAACGCCGAAACGATCCCGCGCCACAATGGTTATAGAACATGTGTTTGGATCGTTTTTATGTCCGCCCTGTTGACTGTCATCTCGCATTTAGACATCACAGCAGTGACAAGAGCGCTGTTCAGAGGCCATGTTTGACGTGAATGTTGAAAGATCATGAATAACATCCTACAGTTCTACAGTCAGCGGGGTGTTTCAAATGGTCGGCCATGACAGTGTGGATTGTAGGGAAATGCTAACACGACTTGGAACATAATTGCCCTTTTCATCCGTCCTGTCATCTATTGGAAACTCTCTCCTCCAACAAAGTTGAGAAGGTCGAAAAGATGGATCTGTTTCCACACAGGCGCCATAGTGATGAGGTCAAACTCCGACACCGCACATGGCGCCTGGATGTACCCGTCAAAATCAATGGCGGGACAGACGACTCATTAAAAGCAATGAATATGTATAGCAGACATCAAGGGGGGCTTAGGTGGCCGTTTGTGCAGGAAATGGTGAAAGTGTTATGTAACATTTATCGATGTTATTTATGTGTAATTAACGCTGGTTGGGCCTTGCTTCAGACGTGACATTGAAGGGGAAGGTCACGTGTTAGATTAGTTACACGTCACTAGGTGGCGCTGGATCGAAAAAGTGTGAAACACTGCTCCATGGGAATGTCGCGGTGCTGATTAGCACTGCAAAGTGTTAATAGCATTGTTGGTGTCATACCTCTAACCATAGACAGCTGCAAGTCTGTCAATTATAATTACGTCAAAGGTAGAACGTGTTCATGTCGCGCTGCCTTCTTCAACATAGCTAAATCTGGCTTTCAGTCCAGGTCTTGTCCTTGTGAAGCGTAATGTGTGAAACTGAAACACGGTGTGTTTGCTGGGTAGTCATGAACTGTTTGATGGATACTTTTTGAGAATAGTTTTTTTTTACGGGAATTGAGTAAAAATTGTTAGTAGTCAGTCAGTATTGTTTATTCACAAAAAGTGTTAGGCCGTAGGCCTATTACACAGAACTATTACAGAGAGAGGGAGAAAAAAGAATTACCACTATTTTACATATATATCCATATCCATACGCATTCATACACATACACATGCATATATACAAATAAATATTTAGACTGTATGCAATGAACGAAGTCGAAAAGCTTTGTAAACGTAGACTGCTAGATTTCGTATGATTTTAAAGTTAGTGGATGACATAAGAGCATTAAATTTATTTTTAGAAGGGGTTGTAAAATATTTAGGAGGAATATATTCAGCTCTTAAATCACTATAAGCATTGCATATAAGCACAAAATGATATTCGTTATTGTTAGTAAAAATTGTTAGTAATGACCCCTACCCCATCCCCCGAATGTGCTGCCTGTTTCGTCTTCTTGATGGATATTTTTTATGACCTGATTCAGAAATCACTAACAATGATAATCTCCATTATTAATAAAACTGATACATGGCGTTATTTTAGTTAAGAAATAAAGGATAACCGCCCCGTCGTTAATGATTAGGCATGTATACCATGACGTTGTTGTAACGTGCTGCGAGTCATATGTAGTGGAGTAAAACACAGTTTTAATGAGTTTGCGCTTTTCAATTCCAGTAAATATAACACAAACTTTCAGACAAAAAGCATCAACTACAAAATACATACATATATAGGCCTCAGGGTTTCACAATCTGATTTTTTAGCGTCAGTCACTATTTCTTGAAAAAGTATAAAATAACAAAAGGGATAATTATGTAATATAACCATTTTTTTCCTGTCTCCAGTGGCAACCCCATCCCAAGAGTGGACTATACAGACGAGGAGATCCAGACATGGTAAGTTGTCCCTGCCACAGTGGAACCCCGTGAATCCAGACCTCGTTAATCCGAACACCTCTTAAGGCTTACTGTACAAACCCGTTAAACCGTCCTAACTGTGTCCCAATGATGAATTAATCCGTATTGGAGTGAGTGAGTGAGCTGGGTGTAACGCCGCTTTTAACAGTATTCCAGTTATATCACGGTGTGTCAGCTTAATGTGGGAGGAAAGCCCGAAGTGATGCAGGTCTCGGACGTTATAGGTTTCTGTCGTGCCTAAGGGACGCAACTCTGCACAGCGAATTGCCGCGCCTGAGACGACTTGACCATCCGTGCCCCCTTAAATCCTTATGTGGGTTATTGAGAAGTCCGGATACACGGGGTTCTTTGTATCAAGGATGTATGTTTGTCTTCCCATAGTTAATCAGCACTGAATAATGAAGCATATGACCTACATGCTGACCCATCTCAAACCCCTCAGTGTAACTAATGAATACAATAAGATTGTCGGTTTCATCCTTATTCGCCTAGTTGGGCGGTCGGGTAGCCTAGTGGTTAAAGCGTTCGCTCGTCACACCGAAGACCCGGGTTCGATTCCCGACATGGGTACAATGTGTGAAGCCCATTTCTGGTGTCCCCCGCCGTGATATTGCTGGAATATTGTTAAAAGCGGCGTAAAACCATACTCACTCACTCACTCACTCACTCACTATTCGCCCAGTGTCGATCCCCGGCCTTAAATGCACCCGATAGGATTTCCCCGCCTTAATGTTTTGAGCATGGTGGCGCATTTATATAACGCCCCCTGCTCATGTTCGGGCCGGCCATATATCCCTCGTTTAACTTGTCCTGTAAAGACATAAATGTAAACTGATACACGCGCGTGATATTCTACTTACATTTCCCCGACGTCTCCCGTCTATAAAAAGTACAAAAAAGTACAGCCCTCCCGTAATCCAAACAACATTTGTGCGACCATAACACCATAAAGGATTTATGTATGTCTTTTATTCGATTCTTTCGCAATGTATGGCATTGTATAATCTGCTTCACCAAATGTATGGTATTTTTGGCGACCCAATTTTAAGGCAATTTATAGCCACCCTCTCAGAGTGTATGACATTTATTGGCTGTATTCCCTAAATGTATAACGATTATGATAGCACCCCTCTTAAAATACACGTCATTTAATGGCCCAGCAAAAATTATGACATTTAATAGAGATCCCCAAAAGATCGTTCCTAAAGGTCGGTCGGATATACCTCGTTGAATCAACCATTCAACGGGGCTGTGGAGTAGCCTAGTGGTTAAAGCGTTCGCTCGTCACGCCAAAGACCCGGGTTCGGTCCCCGACATGGGTATAATGTGTGAAGCCCATTTCTGGTGTCCCCCGCCGTGATATTGCTGGAATATTGCTAAAAGCGGCGTAAAATCACTCACTCATTCCTCAATGTGTTTAGTTTTTCACGATTCTCCCAAAGGGATTGTACTGTTTGGCAATTCTTCTTTGGTGAATGACACAGCTGACTGGCGCCATCTTTTCTCCATCCCAGGGGAACTGTGTTCTCGGAGCTGATGAAGTTGTACCCCACCCACGCCTGCCGGGAGTACCTCAGCAACATCCCTCTTCTCGTGGAGCATTGTGGGTACCGAGAGGACAACGTGCCACAACTCGCAGACGTGTCCAGATTTCTCAAAGGTAGGGGGAGACTGTTAAGTCATTCTATAAATGTACCCCAATCATGCTGTGACGGGGCGCTGGGGTAGTCAAGTGGTTAAAGCGTTCGCTCGTCACGCCAAAGACCCGGTTTCGATTCTCACATGGGTTCAATGCGTGAAGCCGTGATATTGCTGGAATATTGCTAAAAGCGGCGTAAAACCATACTCACTCATTCATGCTGTTAAACAATATGAAAGTACCGGTAAACAGATTTACAGCGTTTAACTGGTATTATGTATGGAGTTGTAGAAGGTGACCAAAACCAGCAAAACGTATCATAATTAATGAAAGCGATAATGTCCCTTCTAGCACTCCATCACTGTTGGATGAGTGTCGGATTTTGTCAGTCGTGGTCACATTTATCGTTAAGTCTGATTTTTATTTCATGGCCACCAAATTATTCGAAAGTCTTGTTTTGAGGGGTGTTTTGAATTTAATATGAACTTAACTTAAAGTTCAAGTGAAGTGTGTCTCGCACGTTGTGGGGGGGGGGGGGGGGTAGTCAAATGTCTCCTTCACGTGCGTGGGACGCGGAGGAGACTCGGATCTCGGGCATTGATTTTGGTCTTATCGGAGACTTCATCAAATCATGAAAATTCATGCAGACAATGCTTAACTCTCAGAATATTCCGGGCTCCATCTTGAAGAGATGGTGTCAGAAACGGATTCGTTGTCGTGAGGAAGAAATACACTTACATCAGCAGAATAATTGCATTTGTGATTTGGAAAATATTATTGCTCAGAAAATGGGATTCATTGTTATGGAACTGATGTATATTTAGTTCTGGAGTTCACTTCAATGGATGATTTGGGTTTGTGCTGTGACAGCTGTTGTGAAAAAGGGTCGCCAAGTTTTTGATCGAGTTTTTTAGTGATTACTGCCCTGAAATAGATTGGCTAATTTCGCATCAGGTTACCCATCTTAATGTCATACATTCAATGGCATAGTTCACCCGATTGATCTGCAACTTGACAAGCACGTCTGAAGTTGAAACGTTCAGAGTAAGAGAGTTGGGTTTAGCGCTGCTTTGAGCGGTATAATTAAGCACATGCAAGTTTTATACAATTGACACTTTCGTGAAACACACGAGCTCGGGTATGATGGCGAATGATCTGGGATTCGAACCCATGATCATATGTTAGTGGTACGCCCATCATCATAGGTAAGTGGTACGCCCAAGGTCATAGGTTAGTGGTACGTCCAAGGTCATAGGTTGGTGGCACACGCAATAGCATAGGTTAGTGACACGCCTCAGGAACGCAACTCTGTACAGTGAAATAGGCGACACTTCGTGATATAACTAAAATATTTTTCAAAAGTGAGTGAGTGAGTTGGATTTAACGCCGCTTTTAACAGTATTCAAGTTATATCACGGCGTGTCAGCTTAATGTGGGAGGAAAGCCACTTCGGGCATGGTGCTGACAAACCTAGAAACATAATCGGGGCGAACCTTGATTCGAACCCACAATCATAGGTTTCTGGCGTGCCCAAGGGACGCAACTCTGCACATCGAATCGCGGCGCCTCAGACGCCTGGGCCACCCGTGCCCCCCATTTCAAAAGAGATGTTAAATCAAACATACTCACATTAATCATCATATATATGGTCTCTGTTTTTCGTATTCGGGAAAATATCCAACTTTCAATAAATACTTTGTGTTATTTTGTTTTCAGACCTCACTTCATAACATACTCGAATATATTGAATTGAGGAGCATTGAACATTTGTTTATAGAATTCAAATGATCAGCTTCTTATGTTTATGCAATTGTGGTCAATCACAACATACGCGTTTTACCGTTCATATAACCCATATATATGATTAAAAGTGTGTAAACCAGAATGTTATTATCCCCCGCCCCAACGAAGTTGGCGGGGGATATTGAAATGGGTTCCGTCCGTGTGTGCGTGTGTGCGTGCGTGTGTGCGTGTGTGCGTCCCGAAATCGTTTCCGGAGCATAACTCAGAAACCGTCAAATATTTCTCTACGAAATTTTGCATGTCTATCAGACTCATGCTGAACTGGTGCCTTTTGCTATTTAGGAATTTTATAAATTTTTATGTTTTACGTTTCCATGGCAACAACTTGGACTTAGGTTCTATAAGGGTGGTGTTCGTTTCCGGTGCATAACTCAAAAACTGTTAAATACTTTCTTACAAAACTTTGCATGTCTACTAGGCACATACCGAACTGGTGCCTATTGCTATTTGGGAATTTTATAAATTTTTATTTTTTTACGTTTCCATTGCAACAAGTTGGACTTAGGTTCTATTGGGTAGTGTTTGTTTCTGAGGCATAACTCAAAACCCATTCAATACTTTCTAACAAAACTGTGCATGTTTACCAGACACATACTGAACTGCCTTTTGCTATTTAGGTATTTAAGATTTTTTTGATTTTTTACGTTTCCATTGCAACAAGTTGGACTTGTTATTGTTAAAGTAATAACATGACCCATTAAAAATACAACAGTGTAACTGATCTTCAACCTACTCAACTGTATAAACACTGCCTCCTATCCTGTATATATTCTTGTCAACCATAATCTGTACTTGCTTGATAACGGTGTTAGAACCAACACCGAAACGTCGATCCTAATTGTAATAAAGAAGTTGTTCGTCCATATGTCTCATCCTTACTCATTACAAATACAGTTACGTATTCTATCATAAACTGCAGATGGCAAAACACCAGTAATAACTTTTTTTAGTGCTGCAATTAGGCCATTTACAAAAGGTCCAGTGAACATAGTTCACAGGAGCTAATGCATTGCACACAACCAGACATGTCATATTGGCGGGGGATATGAGTATTTCATGCTTGTTTTATTTCGTGGTGTACCGCTTCTTTAGACAATCTGTGTATTGTTTCAGCACGGACAGGCTTCCAGCTTCGACCAGTGGCTGGCTATCTCTCGTCACGTGACTTCCTGGCTGGCCTGGCGTTCCGTATGTTCCACTGCACCCAGTACATCCGCCATAGCTCCGACCCCTTCTACACGCCAGAACCGTACGTCTATATGACCATGCTTCACACTCTGACTAGGTAGCTGTAAAGCCATCTTCACGAGGCAAGAGCGTTAACTGACATTAAAAGTCCTGTTTGCACCCTTGCCCAACTAGGCTGGAAGTCCTGGGCTCGATCGTAGCGCCACCAGTGGCTGTTACGAGTTATGTCCCTTCTATGCCTCTCTGGACCAATCAGATTCCGCCTCTCGTACCATTGCATTTGCTTCAAACAAAATGGCGGCGCCCCGTCAAGACGATCTGATCGACAATCAAGATTTATATTGTTATATAATGGGTCTTAAATCGCGAAGTGCATCAAATAACGTGCGCACCTTGATTAAAAACATGGAAAGATTTGGAAAATATCTGTTGACAACGAGTTGGCGCTGCTCATGAATGTGTTTTCTAATCATACAACCCTGAAAAGGTTAACTCGGGGTATTCCGAATGACAGTTACGGCCTGTTCGACTGATTCCGTCAAAAAATCATTGTCAATAGCTCGTTTCCATGGAATAAATATTTCGAAAGGAAAAGACTTTCCATAGCCCGTGGAAAGTACTGTCATACAACATCGATCATCTATCCGACATTCCAGAATTTTCTTTTCTCAAACTATGAATCAAGAACTTTGTCAAAATATTTTTTAAATGGTAGTCTGGAATGGAAGTCGCCAGTTTGAAACTTATGTCGTGAAGCTCGAGGACGCTGCTTTCTAACGGCTTATGCCGACTACTTGTTAATCAATCCATTGGTCGGTCAAAGTTCGTGAAAGGTCGTTCTGACGTGATCTCTAATGGGATGTCCTCTCTTTGTTTAGCGATTGTGAGCAAAATTTGATACAGGTCTTAAGACCAAATCTCAACGCCCCACCACCATCCAACATAATAAATGACCGGTCCCTTAAATATTCGAAATATTACGAATGATAAGTTCAATATGTGTACATACCAGTACTGAGCGCAGACAAAGTTGTAAGTTTAATAAGTCTGTGCATCAGTTCCTCGTGTTTGGCAGCTCGTATACTATGATGGGTGACGATGACACCGAATCTTGTATTTAACTAAGACAAGCAAGAGTCGAGTAACTTACAACACACAAGGGGACAATGGGTAGCCTAGTGGTTAAAGCGTTCGCTCGTCACGCCGAAGACTCTGGTTCGATTCCCCACATGAGTACAATGTGTGAAGCCCATTTCTGTGTCCCCCGCCGTGATATTGCTGGAATATTGTTAAAAGCGGGATAAAACCACACTCACTCACGCACTACAACACACAAGACATTTGATGTCCGCTTTTCACACTTTTAATTGATTTTAAAAAGTTACTTTAAGAATTGTTTGCCAACTTCTGTCACATGGCGCCCTTTGACCTATTTCCCTGCCCCACAGGGACTGTTGCCACGAGCTGATGGGCCACATGCCCCTCCTGGCTGACCCCAGTTTCGCCCAGTTCTCCCAGGAGATCGGACTCGCCTCCCTCGGGGCATCAGATGAGGAGGTGTCCAAACTAGCAACAGTGAGTATATCACGTCACATTCGTGACCACTCGTGTCTTTCCGGAACAAACCGAAGGACTACTCGTGCCCCTCTCGGTTCCGTCTTCGCGGACACACAGCGAAAACAATAGTTATTTTTTACCACATACGCCTTGTAGGTTAAATGGATAGTTCCTAAATGGAACACGGTTGTCATTGACAATCCCGTTTTATGCAGTCAGGTGAAACGAGTGTTACTTTGGTACAAACTATTATACCTATCAACAAGACCCGTGAACATCCGGGTTAGAAGAGGTCTTCAGCAACCCATGCTTGTGGTAAGATTCAACTAACGGGATCGGATAAGCTCGCTGACTTGGTTGATGTATGTCATCGTATTCTAATTAGGTTAATCGATGCTCATAGTGTGAATCACTGGATTGTCTTTTCCAGACTCGATTATTTACAGACTGCCGTCATATAGCTGGAATATTGCTGAGCGCGGCGTTAAACAACAAGTAAACCCACCTTTAGACACGATATATTGTGGAGGGAAACCCGGATTCTTTGACCAAAGTCCTCATGGTAACGCACGCATTCTGAATGGTTTTTCGTGTTTTCATACCCTACATTGATCGATAGAGGGGCGAGTCTTCTTGTAGATTACGGAAACGCGCGAGTTGTGACGAATGTTCATTCGGGTTACGGACAGGCGCGAATGGGGACGAATGTTCTTGTGGATGTGACAATACGTGTGCTAGAAAACAAATGAAATGTCTCTTTGAAGCCACTTTGCCGTCACACGCCGAATGAGACATTTTTGCCTATTTTATCACAGTGTTCATTGAATTCAGTAACAGGAAAACGGGAAACTCACCAGTTTATAACAGACCATGAGATCAGATGTTATGCGAGTTAAAACAGCACAGTGATTTAAGGTGTCAGATCGCACACTGAATTTATAGTCTGTCTTACAGACCCTGATACAAATATGTATCAAATACAGCCCATGCAAGTCTATAATGTTTGGCAAGTCTAGATTACTGCAGTATCTGAAAATGAAGAGAGTCACTGGGCTCCCTTTTATTATATTTTTATTAAGATAACTGAACAACTGTTTTTTTCTGTACGATATGTTCATTTCAGAGACTAGATGTTAGTCTAACTGAATTTAGTACAGGGCCTTCTTGCGCAAAGCGATCTTAGCGCTACACTTGCGCCTGTGTTAAAGTATGGGAGTTACGATCCACCTACCGCTAAGATCGTTTTGTGCAAGTGGGCCCAGGTCATAAAGCGAATTCAGGGGTCGGATCCCAGAATGTATTCAGGCCTCACCAACTATTTAAGATGTCAGATCATGTAGTGATTTCAGAGGTCAGACTCAACAAAGAAAGAGTTTCCAGTTGTGTCCATGGCCCGAGTTTCACGCACTGTGTATGCCTACCATTGTCTTCTATTCTTTACAGTGCTACTTCTTCACTATCGAGTTCGGTCTATGCAAACAGGACGGCGAGCTGAGGGCGTACGGAGCTGGACTGTTGTCCTCCATAGGCGAGCTGAGGGTGAGTTTTCATAGGGAGTGAGTCAGTTTGGTTTTACGCCGCTTTTAGCAATATCCCAGCAATATCACGGCGGGGAACACCAGAATGGGGCTTCACAAATTGTACCCACGTGGGAATTCGAACCCGGGCCTTCGGCGTGGCGAGCGAACGCTTGAACCACTAAGCTACCCCACCGCCCCTTTTATAGGGAAATAAAATGGTAAGTGTCACACTATATTACACAGTTTCTGACATTTTAAGGCAACGATTCCTTAGACTAGGCCTCTCGTGTGATGCTGTTCCAAAGTGAAGAGGTAGAAACTATATGGGGCCTGGTCATTTTTACGAAACAAAATCTTTTCTCCAATTTTGGATAATTAATTTTGTCAGAAGCAAGTGCTGAAAAATAATGTCAACGTCAGTTATCGTCAGTGATATTTTCCAAACCTTTGTAAATTTTGAAACTCGGGGTAATAAAAAGGCAGATATCAGTCTTTTAGGTTTGTTTAACATGAAACAGGGGCTATGGTCTAAACCGCCGCAAGTCGCTTTGTAGAGTTACCTCCCTTAGCCATGTCTGGATCTGCTGAACGTTGGTTGGTCTGATGGTCTTGGTCTTTCAGCACAATATCAGGCGTGTGCATGCATTAAATCCGCCAAGATCTATGACCTGCGGGACGTGTGGTTGTATTTTACCAACACGTCAGGCCATGAAATAATACTGTTCTGAGATACTGTTCACTGGAACAACGGCGGAATATCGTGGTATTAATGATGTGAACTACGTCTGTCTTTTGCAGCACGCTTTGACGGACAAGGCGGAGAAGATCGCCTTCGAGCCAGTGCGGACCAGCACCCAGGAGTGCCTCATCACCACCTTCCAAGATGTCTACTTCTACACCGACAGCTTCGAGGAGGCCAAGGAGAGGATGAGGTTCGTCCAGTTACCATAGAAACGCATTGCATCCTATTGTCAAATACTATGACGTATGGAATGTTCCTCTGTTCATCCAGCACTGCATGGGTACCCGATAGGAAGAGATTGCAATGTGGTCGTTATCTTCTAGCGCCTCACAACCAACTTGAGTTGTATACTCCCTAGGGAGCTGAGAATGATTGTTGGTCCATTGTAATAACAATGTAGCGGTGTGAGCACGCCCCTGTGGTGTGGCTATAGGGCTATGCAAATAGGTGTACAATTATTATGATTATCATTATCATTATTACAGTACTGTATCTACTGTACGCAACTGCCAATCTTGATTTCTCTGTCTTCGCCTGTACTCTGCTATCCGTCTTGCTGTCCGTCAAGTTCGCCTGTCATTCGCTATGTTATCCTCTATCCCACAAGCTCGCATGTACATCACTATCACTTTCGTTTTTGCGGTAAAAATTCAAAGTAAAATCAAATCCTTATTTCTTTAGAATCCTTCACGGGGACTAATAGGGCGTGTATTCGAGAGCGAGATATATGAGACCCGTGGTAGATACTATCATGGTTCCGGGGACTGAGTGGTCTAATGTGACGCAATTCGCTGTGCAAAGTTGCGTCCCTTAACTGTGATAGGATCCGCTGATTGTCGATTTGAGTCCCAGATTCTCACTGATAATTATCCTCGGGTTGTTGTATCAGTGCACGTGAAGCTGTTACGTCGTGATATAATTTAAATATTGTTCAAAGCGGTGATACACCCAACATTGTAAAAATTGGGAGTTGAAATTTACCACTTTAATATACATACCCTTCGTCGCCTGCGTGACACAATGCATAAGGTGATGGCTAAACCTTCCTAAACAAAAAACCCTCAACACTAAGCGCAGCAAAGAATGTTCAAGGCCTAAAATAGTGAAGGGTCAAATCATAAAAAGAATTATAACATCAGAACATTAAAAACTATTGTGACAACTGAATATAAAATTTGCGCCCCTAATCCGACAATGTGACTTAGATACGATGTCAACAATGACATAACCCACAATTATCCGTTGACGAAAAGACGCCAAAGTCAGATCGAACTGTAATATTTCTGAAGTGTTTAAATGACAAACCGCGTTATTAATTTTTTTATTTCAAATGACGTGTCTACCTGTCATTGAACACGTCTGAAGATGGGAAATTATTTTCATCCATTATCAATGTTTACAGGCAGTTCGCCAGCACCATCAAAAGGCCCTTCGCCGTGCGTTACAATCCATACACACACAGCGTCGACGTCCTCAACAGTACTCGCTGCATCGCAACCGTAGTGAGCGAGCTGAAGGGAGATCTGTGCATCGTCAGCGACGCCCTCCGACGTCTGCAGATACTGGAGAAACTTAAACAGGAGGAAGAGAGGAAGGAAACAGAAATCTGAAGACGGGGAGAGGAAGGGCTGGGGGACAGTATTTATTTAGGTAGTTAGGAGAGGAGAGGAAGAGGTTGTGGGAGGGGGAACTGTATTTATTTGAGGGTGATGACATAGGGAGAAGATTAGATGAAGATGGAAGTACGAACATTCGTGAGAGGAAGAAGGCGTATATATTGTGTGTTATTGTTCAGACTGACAGATTAACTGGGCTTTTATGACCGCTTCAAGCTAATGCTTAGTTCCCACTCGGAGCTGATATTGTGGTTGGGCGATGGGAGTGGAGGCATGAAAATTCATGAGAGGAAGTAGGCGTGTTAATTATTTGATTGGTTGGTCGATTAACCATTGCTTTTACGAGCGCTTCCAGCTAACGCTTAGTTCCGCTCGGGGCGGAGTTGATACCGTTTGAGGAAGCTGACGGGTTGGTACATGCTGTAGAAACAAAATGGGCGGGAGTTGTTCTTGAGTGAGAGAAATAAAAGCTGTTCTCCAACAGCATAATGGACTATTTTTAGAATGATGTCAGGTTGGATGTTTGAAATAAGGTGTATTTGTTACATAGTAAAGGTTGGTATTCGGTGAAATGTGTGGAATGTTATATTGATGTATTTATTATATTGTTGAAGCTTCGAAGTAACGGATTTGGGTGAGGCGGAGAGAAACGGGTATGATTCGGAGATCCTCGGTCCCACGTGATATTAGTAACGGTTATCATAAGACTGTTTGTATAGAAGCACGTGGGATACCGATTTCACGTGATATGTTTTCGGATGGTGGCATGCATGCTCTAAGCGGGCTATTGCAAACCGTGTAAACCTAGTGACTTGCTTGGATCACTGAGAGATATGTCAGAATACAGAGGGACAGTAAGGCCACGAACAGTTTAGAATGATTGTTGGTCTTCCCATTTCGACTCCTGTCATCTTAAGGATTTTCTAGGGTAAATGGTCCGCTTTAAATATTAATTCTATGAATATCAAGAGAGCCTGCATTTTACCAGAGACGTTGGCGCTTGCTAATGAGTTTTCTTCCTAATTAGAAGAAAATTGTTATTTTTGAAAATCAACTTTGGATGAGAAGCATTTCTTCTTAGTATAATGCGAACAAAACCATTTATAACAATGTCTAGGGGTATGGCCGATTATTCCCTCTGCCGACTTCATGGTGTCCAGCGATGACACAAAAAAATAATTCTCTTTTTTTTGAAGCCATATAGTCAAATATTAGTAACAAAAAATATATAGCTTTTCAAACATACTTTTCAAGCGATATTTTAAAGTGTGACAAAGAAAATAGGAAAACAAAACTAATTGTGGTACTGACATGTAAAATAATTACGTTTATTTACCTCATTCAAAACGAATTTCCCATGCGAAGAGGGAAAAACTGTTTTAAAATTTGAATTTTGAGGAAAGTTTAATAAAATTAAACCAAGTACTATTTCTGCTGCCAATACTACATGTAGCATAGATGACATATATATGCTTTATATTTGTAGATTGTGTGTTCAAATGTATCCTGTACAAATACAAATACTGAGTTTATATTAAACACCCAGTGTTTGTTGTCGGGAGCGTTGTTGCACGAGGATACTTGACAGGTGCTACAGGTATCGGTATACAGGCAAGCTTAGATTACAGGTATTGTAGTGTCATAGAGTTCGGTGTTATATTTTAAACGTGTGTACATTTGTAAAAATGATTACTCAAGAAGGGTATTATTATGTTAAATACGGCGAATCCCCTTTACCCGGACGGTTTCGTTGATAGTGAAATAACCCCGACTAACAATATCCGGATAAACGAGTCATGGTATTCACTTGAGTCATAAAGAGACGTCATCATATTATTGGCCGGATGTAGATGTTTCCGGGGTCAAGCGGTTCCACTGCGTATGGGATTAGAATTAGATATCAAGTAGATACAGTGTTATACATTAGTTTCAAAAGTAATAAAATACCAGATATTCTCTCTCTTTTCTTTGGTTTGTTTTTAAAATCGTGTCGTTCGTTGACTAGTTGATTGAGTGAGTATGGTTTTACGCCGCTTTTAGCAATATTCCAGCAATATCACGGCGGGGGACACCAGAATGGGCTTCACACATTGTACCCATGTGGGAATCGAACCCAGGCCTTCGGCGTGACGCGCGAACGCTTTAACCACTACATCATCCACTGCCCCGTTGAATGGTTGATTCAACGAGGGTGTTTCCTGGTATGATCAAGAGGTGTGACCTGAATGTTGAAGATGTGATACTCGCCTCCGTCTTGGGATTCCAGACTGTGTCGTGAAAACTTACTGACGAGGATCAGGCGATGGCAACGTATAGCTGATTTGGAGTCATGGCGCAACTACGCAATCATGCTCATGCTGTTAACCATTGGTTTGCCTGGTCTCCACGTGATTTATACACGCCTGTGTGATCTATCTGGAATATTGCTGATTGCGGCGAAAAATACAACTCAATCATGAGTAACGCGGAGTAAATTTCTTTCACACTGCCCCTGTAGCAGGATGAAGGAAGTGCTGAGAGCGCTCGATTGTTAGTTTGTTTGTCGTTCTTTAACGTTCTTCAAGCTACGTGACGGCGATCTGTAAATAAATCGAGTCTGGACCAGACAATCAAGTGATTGACATCATGAGCATCGATCCTAACAATTGGGATACGATGACATGCATCAACCAAGTCAGCGAGCCTGACCACCCGATCCCTTGAGTCGTCTCAAGCAAAGTCACCTTTTAGGGCAAGCATGGGTTGCTGAAGACCTATTCCAGCCCGGATTTTCACGGGTCGTGCTCGATTTTGAGTGAGTGATGTTTTAGGGACGATCACGGGTTATCACGGTAGTAGGGTGACAATGTGTGACCAAGTTTATTCTGTGTCATCGTATCCCCACGACGTTGACGGTGTTCAATATATGAACCACTCGCCTGCCTAAAACCAGACTCGAATAGTTGGAATACCATCTTCCCGAGGCAAGAGAGTTAACTGACTATAAAAGTCCAGTTTCCACCCTTGCCGAACTAGGCTGGAATTCCCGGGCTTGATCGTTACGCCACCAGCTGTTATTACGAGTTATGACCCTTCTAAACCTTTCCTATGGACCAATCAGATTCTACCTTGCGTATCACTTGCATTTGATTCAAATAAAATGGCGGCGCACAGTCATTATCGCATTATCAGTGAGTGAGTGAGTGAGTGGGGTTTTACGCCGCTTTTGGCAATATTCCAGCAATATCACGGCGGGGGACACCAAGAATGGGCTTCACACATTGTACCCATGTCGGGGATCGAACCCGGGTCTTCGGCGTGACGAGCGAACGCTTTAACCACTAGGCTACCCGACCGCCCCTATCGCATTATCAAGTCGATAATCAAGATCTATATTGTGATAAAACGAGTCTTACATCGCGAAGTGCATCAAATCACGTGAGCACCTTGATTAAAAACATGAAAATATTTGGAAAATATCTGTTGACAACGAGTTTAAGGTGCACATGCTTTGCAAATCCTGCAAGCGACCGAAATCAGCACGACAGTTTACGAACCGGATTTCGATTTCGTTGCGCGATTTCCATTGGACTATGCATAGACTCGTTAGCCCAGCAAAAATGTAACTCATTAATACCAGCCTAGTTCGGCAAGGGTGGAAACTGGACTTTTATAGTCAGTTAACTCTCTTGCCTCGGGGAGATGTTGGAATACTGACCGATGGTGAAGTAAAATACATGTACAATCACTCCGTTATACACATTCGGGGCACGAGTGGGGATTTTATGAGCACTTCGGGCAATTGTGTCCGCCGGCACACGGGGCAGTTCGGTCATCTTAATGTACGTCTGTGTGTCTGGCTATCTGTCATCTTCTGCCCGTGAGAGGGGCAGGTTCACACCCCCTGATGAAGCGTGTGGAGTCCTCCCTGCTGCGACTTCACACACCGCGTAAGAGTTAATGTCATCCGGTCTCCACAGAATGTCCTCTTGAAAACATGAAAACACTCCCGACGTGATGCTCCATAAAGTGTTTTTACAGTGCCGAGGAGCATATTCAGATATGTCTTCGCAGACTGTTCCAAATACCTCGTTATAACGCTTACCGCCCCGCCCTCAAGTGTGAGCAAACTCAAGAAAACAATCCCGACGTGATGTTCCATAAAGGGTTTTACAGTACCGAGTGGCATGTTCATATATGTCTACTCAGAATGTCCCAAATACCTCGTTATAACGCTTACTACACCCCCCACCCCTACCCATTCGAGTGTGCGCGAACTCATGAAAACACTACAGACGTGATGCTCCATAAAGGTTTTCACAGTGCCGAGAAGCGTGTTCAGATATACCTCACTGTTTCCATAGAAACGGAGTAATTCATAATAAAATATCAATGTCAGCTGGCAAGGTAGTGTTGTTTGTTGTTTGACGTCACAGTCAGCAATATTCAAGCTATATATTGGAAGTCTGAAAATAATCTAGTCTTTTCCTGACAAACCCATTTTACTATCCTATTTTGAAGATTTCTGTGCAAAATGTTCTCACTTAGTGATTGCAACCGGCGCTGTTGGGTAGAGACTGGGAAAGCATCATCTACATGCAAAGTGGTTGTCAGCGTCTGAGAGGAGCTTGAAACTGCTGTCAGTTATACCACAGGGTGAGTGAGTGAGTGAATAGGACGGGTGGGTGGGTGAATATAACGACAAGAAAGTAGTAAACATTCAAAACATTCTCAGTAAAACAGCACGGTAAATGTCACCATTCAATAAATTCACTTCAAAGTAAAATCTTGTCAAATCTATGAACCATATAGTACTCAACCTTTGATAGGGATTATGAGATACGTCGTTCTCTTTAAGAATATCTTTGTCAATAGTGGAGTAGAGCATAATAAACATGATAGTGAGTGAGTGAGTTGGGTTTAACGCCGCTTTTAACAGTATTCCAGTTATATCACGGCGTGTCAGCTTAATGTGGGAGGAAAGCCCGAAGTGATGCAGGTCTCAGGCGTTTACCACTTCGGTGAAACCCACGAGCACGGGTATGGTGCTGACAAACCTAGAAACATAAGCGGTGTGAACCGGGATTCGAACCCACAATCATAGGTTTCTGGCGTGTCCAGGGGACGCAACTCTGCAGAGCGAATCGCGGCGCCTTAGACGACTGGGCCACCCGTGCCCCCAATAAACATGATAAAAGCATGGTTTCATCATCCATTCCGAATGTATAATACTGACCAAATTATTTAAGATAGAGTCCGCTTAGATACCGCTTATACAGGTAAACAACTCGTTCAGATGTACTGCTTTATAATAAGAATGATTTGCGGTGTCCACGAAGTCGCATAAAACTCATTGTTCGTTTGTTTGTTTGTTGTTTAACGCCGCACTCACTAATATTCCAGCTATATGACGGCGGCCTGTGAATAATCGAGTCTGGACCAGACAATCCAGTGATTGACACCATGAGCATCGATCCACGCAATTAGGATACGATGACATACATCAACCAAGTCAGCGAGCCTGACCACCCGATCCCGTTAGTCGCCTATTACGACAAGCGACCGCCTCCGTGGTCTAGTGGTAGAGAGTCCGCCCGGAGAGCGGAAGGTCCGGGGTTCGATCCTCGGCCGCGTCAAAAGACGTTAAAAGATGGTACTTGTTGTTACCCTGTCTGACGCTCGGCAGTAAGGGGCTAAAACAAGGACTGGTCGGCTCGGGGTCAGTATACTGTGTCTGAGTGGTCTATGCATGTTAAACTGCGGCATGGTATCTCAGAGGGCTAGCACTATAAATCGGCATCAGTCCGGACTAGTACAAGCAGCCACACACACACATACACGTACATGCACGTCGCTATATAAGTGCAATAATCTTAACTCCATTTCACCTCACCTCTTACGACAAGCATAGTCGCCTTTCAAACTCATCGTGACCAGCTCGTAGAGGTGTACAGCTATAATACAACCCTTAAGCAGAGATATGATGTTGACAGATCAACAGGCCTTTTTAACAAGTGTACCCAATTTGAAGAAAGTTTTATGTCGTTTAACGATAAGGATAATGTTAGTTTTATACTCTCATACCCTGAAAAGTTCAATATAACTGCCCAAACTGCCACATTATCTTAAAAAAACGTGCTTCCAATTTGTATATTCCTACGTAATATATATTTTATTGTAATTGTTTACAGTTTTATCTAATGCCCTTAGTTCATAGTTTGTTTAATTTTTGTGCGTAAAAATCTCTCGTTATTCCGCATGGAATGGCTCAACTGTTTTAAGAATGTATATGTATAATGATGTGTATCCAATGTTGAGGTGAGACTCTCAATAAATGTCTGTCTGTCTGCTAATGAGGGCAGATCATTGATTGCTGGGCTCCTAGATTTACTCGAAACATTAATCTGACTTGAATCGTGACACACGTCAGTCCAGGTGAGCTAGGCAGACCCTGGACAGACACTGCGTTGTCCAGGTAGTAGAAGCAAGACCCGGATCGATACACAAGGAGCGTGATTAGGGTCTGAAGGCATTAATGTTTTATGGGAAACAAATTCTTTATTGTTCGTCACGAGGTTTCGGGGGAAAGAAGTGGCCTTGAAATGATGTTACAAACAAAAAGAAGTTGTCCGTTAAACCTTCCTCCGTACATGATCTTATGACATCCTAAATATGCCTTTATCTAAGTTGGCCAAACGTAAATGTTCCGACTTTATCAATTTCTCTTCCAGAATGTGTGCATTCATCTCCTTTTTGTTTTTGTTTTGTTTTGTTTGTTTGTTTGTTTGTTGTTTAACGCCACACTCAGCAATATTCCAGCTATATGACGGCGGTCTTTAAAAAATCGAGTCTGGTCCAGACAATCCAGTGATTGACATTATGAGCATCGATCCACGCAATTGGGATCGATGACATGCTTCAACCAAGTCAGCGAGCCTGACCACCCGATCCCGTTTGTCGCCTCTTACGACAAGCAC